AGTTTCTCATGGTGGTCTAGATTCAATTGACCCATGAATTCAATCATTGAAATACAATTATGTTTTAATAAATCCTTTTAACTCTTCTTAGATTTCACGGTGTATATTCATATATATATAAACTGGATAAAATGTTTGTAAGAAAATAAGTATCTTTACAACAGTGAAAATCCTACCATTTATCAAGTGTGAATGTTTCTTTTGTTAAGCTATTTGTGTGAACGAATTCTATCACAATCACTTCTCATTCTGTCAAAAAAAATGTTACAAGAGCAGGATCTCAATAGGTTGGAATGATTTGTATCTGCTAAAATAACGCTAGTCAATTGTTTGGAGTATTCTGAATATTTGTTCACAATTGTACTAAGTATAACATAAAAAGATTCATTATTTCTTCTACTAGTAACCTTCATTACTCTACAAAACACAGCGCAATCTTTTCTCATAAGGTAAGGAAAGAATTACTGGAAGCAGTATATAAGTAATTTACAAAACAGAAAAGTGTCGAGTAATGTTGAAAACATATAACCTCTCTTTATATCGTAAAGTAGAAGATAAACTCCCTTCGACAATGACGACATATGGGAAAACCAGGAGGGGTCGAAAATAAAACTTACACCAAGATAAATGACATTTCAAATCGTTTTCACTATAGTAGAGTACAAATGTTATGTGATTCTAGCAGTATATTTACTTGCTTTTCATGTTTGAACTTAAAACTAACAGTTGATATCGAGAAGGATGTAGCGTCAGATCATCGAGATTAGACCAACTTTTAATGTACGCTAGAAACTCATTCATTTCAAGGGAGGTTTGTAGAGGTAAAAATAGGCGTGCATACAGTAAGATTGTCAGCAAAATTATAAAAAAATTTTTTTACAGAAGATGGCATGCAAAGTAAAGAAGAAAATCATAGGTCTTACTAACGACACGCCTAAATTGTCTTTCTAGCCGGTTCTTGTATCTTCAAAATTTCGTACACACCAACTGAAATATTATACAGAATGCCCGAATTCCGAGTAAAAGCCTGACTTCAAGGATAGCTTATATACATATAAACGAGAATATTTATAGAATCATGAATGTCCTTGAGATCTTGAAAACTTCTTGAACCAAATTAAATACAGTAGCGGTACGGGTAAATATCCTACCGAAGGCGTGGTACGTGATTTTCTATTTCCTCGATGTTTCTGAGAAGTGTTCATCGTCAATTGGATGAAACGTTTCCTGGAGTATCTTGATCTCTAGGGTCTTTGATGAGGGACGTCTTCGGGACTCCTCTAAAGAGAAATGAATAAGAAAATTGAAGCTTTTTGATACATAACAACTTTGGATAATAATGGTAAACAAAATTTATGAAAATTCAAGTTGAAGAGGTGAATAAAAGTAACCAAACTAGAGAATATTTTTCGAAAAATCGTATGTCTTTAATGCATTTTGTTGAATAGTTTTGTCAATATTTATAACCTTATCCAGCTAGTAAATTTCATTATAATCACGTTTCGATACATCTCCGAATTGACTCATTTTACTGTCAGATTTTATGTACCACTAGCTACTTGAAAGTCGATGAGGACTGTGAACAGTTGGCTATTTAACCGATAAATGTCCACTAATGAAATTGCCTTTAAATTATACAACATGACCAAAGCATTTGTTTAAATGTAGTTTCTTCTTTTTTGACGACTGGGTTTGAAGGGAATTTTCCAAAGTTCTAGTAATAAGTTATGATCTCTATGATTCAACCATCTATTGTCTGAGACAATTAGCAGCAATGACATTAAATTGTTGTTGTGTTATATTGTTAATCGACTGACGTTGGACTAAGTAGCTCATTCAGTTCTAATTTAGAGCTTCAAAGGACTTGAATATTTTGCGCTCGATTCCAGGTCGAACTAGGGAAAAACTTAAAATGTAAAATTGTGATCAATGTGATATGAAGTATTTTGAGTAATTTGATGTAATGAAGTGAAAATAATTCGCAGTGTCATATAATCAAATAAAACCAGTTACAGAGTACTGATGGAAGGGTTGCACCTCTCAATCTTTTAGTTATCAAACTAATGTGTAACTGTCTGCAGTTTTAGTAAGCTAAATTAGTTTTGTAAGGAATCGAAGAGGTTTGTGAATGATAATTAGACGTATATACCAGTTACAGTATTCTTACATTCCACTACTGTTTTCTTATGTTCGGGATGATCAAAGATAATTAAATTATTTTCTGTCCAAGAAACATGAAATTCTATCATTAACAATATAAAACTACAATGTGTATCTTACGATGAAAAATCATCTGTCTGGTCACTAAATCACCCAAGATCAATAAATCATCCACAGATGTAGTTAGGGCATAGATTTTACTAAATGCTGTAGTTCATATTGGTGACTGAAATGAGGCATTATCTCTGTTTATTATTTAATAGTTCCCAGTTAAATTATAAATTGTTAAGAAATATCAGTGATAGTTATAAAAATGTACATTGATCTCGTTTAACTGGCATCAGTTATTGTTTCCGTGTGAAAAAACCTTACTTATGAAATGAATTTCTATGTTGAAAAACAATAAATTCACTTATAACGTATGTCACAATATCATACAATTTTTTAAATTCACGATAAAAGTCATTTGTAATTGAGGGATCACCAATATCACATTTGTTACGTTCTTTAATATTTATCAATTTGTAGTGTGACAGCTGATCTAAGTGTCTTGAATTCGCTTGCAGTATATTATGATGTTAGATGATTAAAGATAGTCGATAGGAAACTCTAGAATTCTAGATATACCTGATCTAATATAGCCTAACTAGCTCATTACAAACAATCTGATTTATCATGAAACATCACGTTGCTAATAACTGCAAGTACGATTTGGTGCTGAGCACCAAGTAACACGAAATCTAATACCTAACACGGTTTCCTTTAGACTTTCTCTAACCACCTTAATCCTAATAAATATTGTTTATTAGTATTTTGACAAAAAACAAATTTCGATAGAACAATGAGAAGACGGAGTTGATCTGAAAAATGTGATGTATTTGCACTATACATTTCGAACAATTTGGTCACACATATACTTGTCAAGGCATTTTTATATGAAAATTAATAAAGGTCAAACAAATAAAAGCACATTTTTCAGATCAACTCCGTCTTCTCATTGTTCTATCGAAATTTATAAAAGGGACTAGTTGCTTTAAAAAACAAATTAAATAAACACTGTTTTAGAGCATGACAACTTCTGATGTCATTGAATTCTCATCAAAATTTTAGTAGTATATTTAACATAAATTAGATATGTTGATAATTTTTGTTGCTAGTTCATATTACTTTGGTTACAATAGTAAGTTTAGCTATTCACTCATTCTTATTTGATATTTCTTAACATTTAATACTTACATTTAAAGTACAGATTAAAAAGACCCAGTATCATTCAATTGTACTCTCATCTATATATAAATTAGTCCTTGACAAAAGTCACTTATAATTTTATTCAGAATTCTATGAACTAAACAAATATCGATTTTTTTCTCTCGTATCATTTAATGAATTGGATATTGATCGTAAAATTTAAAATGTTTTATATAAAGTTGATCAATATTTCACAATTCTATCAATCAAAATTTATTGATTTGTATTGTTTTTTTAGTTTTTTTTTCAGTTATCTACTTTTACATAAATAATAGATATAGTATAGTGTGATGTAGTGGTGATTACTAAAATGTATCTTAATAAAGACGTCATTTTTTGAGATACATCATCACATGATGATTTATTAACCTTAACGTCAATGTTTTATTTAGTTGAATTCATTAATTCATAAAGTGTGCTATTAGTACTAAATCCATATTCAAACAAACAAACAAAGAAGAATAAGAAGTCAATCAGCTGACATTATTCACAACATTTTCAATGTTTTATAAGTGCATTGTATCCAGTGCTCCAAGTTGTGGTTTTATTCATTTATTCATTTAGTAAATAAATTTTACATAATATTAGAAGGGATTTTGTGGAGATTTTTAGAAATTTCACTAGTTGAAATCATGAGTGAATTGAAGTTAGACCACCATGGAAAACCTGGAAGCACTGGACGGCTGTTGGTTTGATTAGACATTAACACCGTTGGATGCCGACTCAGTGGTCTAATGGTTAAGGGCTCGCTTGCGAGACTGATAGCTCCTGGCTTCGAATCTTGCCGCGGGCGGGATCGTGGATGAGCATTGTTGAGGAGTCCCATAGTGGGACGAAACGGGCGTCTAGTGTTCTATCACTTTTTTATGTCAGTCAAAGAAACAATCAAAGTCTTCGAACACTGGATAGTTGTATCCTACTAGCAAATACCTGTGAAGAGATGTCATTTAATCATCTTTCAATCATTTTCGGAAAAAATAGATAATATTTAGTCCTGAAACAAATATCTAGTTGATCTCCAAATCATCAATTTCTTTCACACTCTAAATATACACTGATAAATGGTCATTTTAAGATTATTTTTATTATATTGTATTCAGTGAAATAGAATTTTGAAGTGAGCATTTAAGTATTTTACTGTTATCATTTGTAGAAACTTTAGTTGGAGAATTATTTTATCCCTTGATAGGTATGGATTTCAATTATATGGATGAGAAGCTTTACATCGTCTAGGTTTCATTATTTTTGTCAATAATTTTTAATTCTGCCGAACCAAAAGTAACCTTGATAACTTTTCCTAATTTCACATTAACCTACTGACTTTTTCGATTTTATTCAATTCATTAGTCTCGTCTTTAGATTTATGATCTTTGTTAAATGTTCCAAAGCCATAGTTGTTGTATTTATACACCGAGCTGTTGTATTACTGTAGTGAATGAGAACACAAATGTGAACAACCAAATATATTTCGACATAACATTACAGAATATATTAGTAAAATCTAAAAATCATACAATAAATACTTCATTTGCAAAATAACCATCAATTGTCTCAGACTTTGTTGTTCCTTCGTTCTTATACCAAACACTCTCTGTTCTCGTTCTCTTCTCTTCGATTTTCTCAACCATCTGACGCTAGGCATTCCACATTTGAAGGGTAATACATACTATTTATATCTATCGACATCAGAAGCACACATCACATTACTAGCTTGACTATTTGAAATATCAATCTTTCCTTGAATTAATGTCTTTTCTCTGTGATCACCTGATGAATGATTATTATTGAACGGTTTTGGAAATTAGTTGTTGAGCTCTATATATAAGTGTACATAGTACTTGTATTGAAATGCATCTTTATTCACTCCTTGGAATAATCATAATCTATGCCAATATATAAAAGTTTAATAGAAAATCACATCTGTTGATTAACGTTTACAAACTTATATCATCACTTACATTATTCTGTAAATATCAAAGTATGAAACATTTTCGTTTATCTATAGATGTGATTCTTCATTCCTAGTTATAGGATTTAAATGGCCAACTTCTAGGTACAGTAATCACTGATATCCATGAATTAACACATGTGCGTTCGTTTAAATTGATATCATGAGTGGATCGATGTTGGACCACCATTGAAAACCTGGAAGCAATTGACGGCCGTACCGTCGAAGTATGTGACTTCTCAGAAGTACACATTCACGATCCCGCACGCAGGACTCGAACCTACAACATTCGGTCTCGTGCGTGAACGTTTAACCTGTAGCCAGTGTCCAATAGTGTTTATGTCTAACTTCAACCAATCCACGATATTGCGCGACCTTCTATCATTGTCATTAGTGAGCAACTGCCTCACACCACACACGGTCAAACTCCACTGGCCACGGACTCTCACTAGAACTCCTACATGAGAGATCGTGAATTCACATTGCTGAGAAGTCTTATGCTAAAACGAGACGGCCGTTAAGTGCTTCCAGGTTTTTCAATGATGTTCTAACATTGATCCATTCATGATATCAACTTAATTTCAACAATTTCCACAACCCTATACTGATAATTAACATCTGCTATAGTTAATAAAACACTATCAAAATTAACATTCAACTAATCTAAATTAAATCATTCTCATCATTTCAAATTAACCGGAGTTTTTTAAATATTTTTTCATTAATAATTGATTTAAATAAAAATAATATATTTGTAATATCCCAATGAGTAGAAAATTGGATTTTCTGACGTTTCGTGACTTAGTGTAAGTCACTTCTTCAGAGAATAAATAACCAAATTTCAATTAATCCAAGTTTAAATAGCGCAATTTAAACTTGGATTAATTGAAATTTGGTTATTTATTCTCTGAAGAAGTGACTTACACTAAGTCACGAAACGTCAGAAAATCCAATTTTCTACTCATTGGGATATTACAAATATATTATTTTTATTTATAACAATCAACCCAATGCTCAATTTATTCGAAATTACCAAATCAAACCTTGGTAATGACACCTTAATAATTGATTGATTCAATTTATTTCTTGTAAGTTACTACTGACTTAAGAATATTCGCACAATCTATTCACTTTATTATTATTTTGTTTCTAGTCAAAGCAACACAAATTACGCACATATTTATAAGATCAAAGTGATTAATTGTTATTTTATCATAAATACTGTTAATTTCAACACTTACATAAATACTGTGAAATGTGTACCTACTAAGATTTTTCCATTATTTGGTGTATAGATCAAATAGAAAATATAATCATTTTAAGAATTGGAACCCTTGCTACGTGTGCGTGTGTGTGTCCTATCACAATTTTACACGTTACAACAAGCTACTTTAAAAAGCTAAATACTTTGTGAAAAGAATGTATGTATTATGAACAGACAGGAAATGAATCAATAAAAAGGTGAAAATATGTTCAGTGTTCACGAAAATAAAGCAAATAGTTAATACCTGATGATGATGATGATGATGATGATGATGATGATGATGATGATGATGATGATGATGATGATGATGATGATGATGATGATGATGATGATGATGATGTGATGATGATGATGATGATGATGATGATGATGATGATGATGATGATGATGATGATGATGATGATGATGATGATGATGATGATGATGATGATGATGATGATGATGATGATGATGATGATGATGATGATGATGATGATGATGATGATGATGATGATGATGATGATGATGATGATGATGATGATGATGATGATGATGATGATGATGATGATGATGATGATGATGATGATGATGATGATGATGATGATGATGATGATGATGATGATGATGATGATGATGATGATGATGATGATGATGATGATGATGATGATGATGATGATGATGATGATGATGATGATGATGATGATGATGATGATGATGATGATGATGATGATGATGATGATGATGATGATGATGATGATGATGATGATGATGATGATGATGATGATGATGATGATGATGATGATGATGATGATGATGATGATGATGATTTTGAACGCGTACTATTTAAGCTTTTTAGTTCGTGTGTTCGAGCAGAGTTAGTCGTAATTCTCTCCACTTAGGTATGTAAATTGATGTTATGCATTACTCTGTCTAACAGTTATATGTAAGGTATTTTTAAATAATTTACTCACTTAACCGTTGATATTGATAATTTCGTTAGACAATTACTCAGTATGGATAAACGTATGTATTAATTATATCGATCTACTCATCATCACATCTTACTGGTTACTATCTGTAATCTTGATATCTGGTTTCATGATTTTTTTACTGATTGCTTCCTTTTCATTTCATACTGAACAAGTTATACTTTATTATCTTGTATTTTAACTAAATGACTAAATTAATAACCTCTCCGATAGTATATAATTAAGATAGAACAGATTAATATCAATTATTGATGAATTAGTATGTAACAAAAGTTGAAACCCTTAAGAAACAATTCAACAAGACTGCATAATCAACTGATAATCTCTCAACAACAAAACTCATAAGTACAAGTTTTTCAAGTCATGTCAAAATCATTTTTCTCAATAATCATCCAATAAATAATTGTCTTGATATTTACATGGGAATAGAATAATTCACACTTTTGAATTGGACAATTATTCCATTAAGGCATATATAACTTATACAATTAACAATTGCAGAGGATGATGATCTATTTACTTTTCTAAAAATATCATTCATTTGATCTGTTGATGGAACAATTACAAAATTTATTTCTTATTCATTTTGAACACAATCATTGAATAATTATAATATACCTCTAAACAGTTCTTTGTAAAATAATGAAAATTCTCATGTTGGCAATGGGTCAAAAATTTGATTTCAATTAGTTTTTGATCATGACTCTACATTAATATGTATGTCAGTATAGGGTTGTGGAGATTGTTGAGTTTTAATTAAGATCATGAACCGATCAATATTAGATCACCATTGAAAACCTGGGTTTATACTTACCTACTTATTTACGCCTGTTACCCCTCGTAAAGGGGGCATATTCCGCCCATCAGCTTTCTTTATCCAACTCCATCATGGGCATCTTTTCCAGTTGCTTCAAGTTACTATTCATTCTTTTGATACCTGCTTCCAATTCTCGACTCAATGTGTTTTTTGGTCTTCCTCATTTCCTTTTCCCTTCAGGATTCCATGTTAGAGCTTGCTTAGTGATGAAGTTTGGTGATTTCCTCAATATGTGTTCTATTCACTTCTGACGTTTTTTCCAAATTTCCTCTTCATTTGAAGCTGATATGTTCTCTCCCACAGTAGGCTGTTGCTGATAATATCCGGTCAACGGATATTCAGTATCTTACGTAGACAATCGTTTTTGAATACTTGTATATTTTCGATGAAGGTTGTGGTATTTCTCATAGTTTCAGTTCCGTACACTAGAACTGTTTTGACTCTCGTATTGAAGATTCCGAATTTGATGTTGGCTTGCATATAGATGTGTTGAATTCCATATGTTCTTCAATTGTAGGAATGCTGAATTTCTTTTACCAATCGTCGCCCTTTTGTCTGCATAAGATCTTCCACATTCATCAGTGATGCTGTCCAGGTACATAAAAGTTAACATAGTAGGCTGTTGCTGCTAAATTTGTAGATATTTTTTTTGAATTTCGTACTATACATCTCTAACCAGAATTACATAAAAAACAATTAAGTACCAATACTGCAAATTTTATTTATACTGTTTTTCCATTGAAGATAATTTCGTTCAAAATACCTAAATAACCATTTGTTGAATAGTTAATCAAAAGTTATCTGACTAGTTACAATCGTTTTGATTGAGATCATGAACCATTTGATGTTAGACCACCACCTTTTGAAAACCTGGAAGCGCTGGACGACCGTTTCGTCCTATTATGGGACTCCTCAGCCGTGCGCATCCACGATCACACTCGCGGGATTTGAACCCGAGGCCTTCGGTCTCGCGCGCGAACGCTTAACCTACTGAACCATTGAGCTGGCATCCAATGGTTACAATCCTTCTGATTTCTTTCATTATTTTTTCTCTCATATCATATACATTCAGTTTGAACAAACATAAAAACTGATCATCCGGTAATACAACAAAAATCATTGTATGTGTACACCCAACGCATAATTCATAGGGTGTACATAAAATTCAAATTATTTTGAACTTTGGAAACCGATCCACATTTCTATTGATCATCATAATTATCGTACATACTTTATTGTTTACATTATTCTCTTATTTTATTTCTTTCTTATTTTTATAACCAAAAAACACCAACAACAACAACCTATTCTATGATATTGTGTAAAGTTTAAAAAATTTTTTTAAAAAAAGCGGAACGATTCAAGCACGCACGCACGCACGCACGCATGCACGCAGTCAAGCACGTACGCACATTCCATTGATGATTGAATCTGAAAGGTGAAAAAAAAAGTTTAGAAAAAAATGTTATGATTTTTTTTTAGAGATTATTTTGTAAATAAAACGAATTGACGAATGGATGTTACTCATTTGGTATAAATATCATTAAAATAAGTAGATATTTTAGTAATATATACAATAGATGTGTCCATATATGAATGTATATAATGTTTTGTATCTATGCATATATATGAATGTATCCATTGTATTTCTTTGGTCATTTTATTTAGTACTGGTATATAAATGTTAAAAAGTTTATTTTAGAAATTTATAAATGTGTGGGTACTTTTTTTTTTAAAAAAAATGATTTAACATTATATCTAGTCACTTATTCAAAATGAACATAACATATACAATAATCTGAACTATGTTTTTACGGAATTTATTAAGGATCGATATAGTTGATATGGGAGATATCAATGGGAAACAAGGATCATTGAACAACTGTTTTATTCTAATATCGGAACCGTCTGTAGTACTTATCAATAGCCCTATGATTGATTGAATTCATTGTTTATTGTTAGTTTCAATTATTCATTTTCTAGTTCACCTACTTGAGTTTAGATGTTTGAACAGTTTCACTTGGATTCATACTCAACATATAGCTTGAAGGCAAGTATACGAATCTATAGTTTATAACGAGTTAACAATATTAGCAATAATTCATTTATATTGGTTGCTTGAATGTTTTGGCATATGTATATCCTATGTGGATTGCTTCGATAAAGTCATTAACTCACAGGGATTAAAAGCAAAGATAGAAAGTGGCTCGCAGTGTTAATCAGTCCTGCGTTCGAGTTCTGACGTGAAAAGCAACTCTGGACAGGAAGTAAATTCAGCTTAGGCATTCCACATAGGATAAAACGCGTGTCTGGATTCCACTGCTACTCACCATTCATCTCTCTTTATAATAATAATAATAATAATATCTTATTCCACTTAGTAGTACTTTGTTACTTATAAACATTAAAAAAATCTTACAACGTATTCGGCTGTTTAATACTGGGAGCTTCAAGTAGGAACATAACATCTATTAGAATATTCTCTTTATTATCTCCTTTTTTGAAAAAGCTATAGATGAATCTCTTGCTATTCTTGCACTACATATATATGATAGATGAAAGAAATTATTGCAAGAACTAAACTGGTTTAAAACTTTGATTACTAAAAATGAATGACAGACATTGACTAATGAAAATCTTTTATCAAATATATGATGTAATAATTACAATTTGAATATATAAGTTAAATAGAAATCGTGTTTTTTTTTCTGTAGAGTTGCTAGGGCAAAGTTATTACTTAGCATAACTAAAAAATGTTTGACTTGATCATTTCAGATAAATTTAGTGTTGAGCTGATTATTTATTAAGAATAGCCATGAATTCAGTTATTATTACGTAATGAAGTCTTTATGATTTATCTATTTTTTATAGTGTGTTCTAAAGTTCCACTAAGATTTTAGTATTTGAGAGACATTAAATTATGAAATTATTTGATATGATCTTTATTGAACAGAACACGGGTGGGACAACCAAATTATATTTAGCACAAAATTACAGAGTTACTTGCTAAGATAGAAAAACCATACTATAATATTTAATTTGCGAAATGTTCAATAATTGTCCCGAACTTCGTTGTTCTTGTATTTCCATACTAATTGCTTTCTGTTCACGCTCTTCCTTTCTTGATCTTCCCCATCTTCTGCTGCCTGACATTACATTCCTGACCCGCGTCATATACTACTTGTATCAATATAAGTAGCACGCGCCACAGATCCACTGACAGTTCAATAGAATCAGTCATATTTATTTTTTTATATTCAATTCAGATTCATTGAATAACTAATGATGTTTTTAAATTAATTTTCGATACTTGTTTGAATCAGTGAACTTGTCAGTTGTGGGAAATTTAAATTATAGCATCAGAATTTGGGATTAAGATAAGTCATGTTGCATGTATTTCTGCATTATCGAGGTACAGATCATTTAATTCTTCTAAACTTATCTTTTCAGTATGTATTTATTAATTATTTTATTATACTTTAATTTATAGCACTACTCTACAATCCATTTCGATTATGGTTAATTTTGGTTAAGCCATTTTATTAACTTATTTAACAGACAATGTTATTTGAATAGTAACAATTCGTTGATTACTTTGTACCGTTATGATCACTAGATCAGATGGTAGACTCGAGGTAAAATGTTGATTGCTTAAATATTAATCGATGATTCATCCTCCTCCCTATATATTATTATTAGTCCTTGCTTTGCCTTGCTGCAACTTTATCCAATTTGCTATAAATTTACCTATTTAATTGCTCGTATATTCTTATTCGTCTCTCCGCTTCAAATACGCTTGATGTGCTTATAGATTAGTGATCTGCGCTATTCGCTAGTAACTTTCAGTTGCCGCTTCTCATCGCCTTCTGATATTAAACTATTTAATGGAAGAATTATAAATTCATCACAAAAGTTATTAGGACAAAAGGATAGTTTAAATGAATAAACCCATGAAAATATGAATTATCTTACTTAACAACAAATTTTCTAGATAGTTACCATATAATCTAATCTAGAAATCATTCAGTATAATATTTCTAACATGTTCAGTGTGACATAATAATCACTATATATTATTTTTGGAAATTTCATACTCTTGCCTCATTTTATGTTCTTTTAAAAACAATAATTCTACAAGCTATAATTCAACTTAATAATTTTTATGAGACAAATCAACTCTATAACAGTAAGCAGTTTATTTTTCCTAATGGTAATTCATTTTAAGAAAAATAATCTAAATAGTTGAGGTCATGAGTCAATTGAGGCTACACCGCCATGCAAAACCTGAAAGAACTAGGCGGCCGTTTCGTCCTATCATGGGACTCCACAGCAGTGCTCATCCACGATCGCGAGCGTTTAACCACTAAACCACTGAGCAAGTATCCAAAGGTGTTAATGTCTAACTCCAACCATTCCACGAAATTGAGCCACCGAACACTACTTTCATCAGTGAGTTACTATCTCACAACAGACCGGGTTGAACTCGACTGGTCATGGCTTCTCACTAGAACTCCAGGAAGGGCCTCTTGAAGTCAGTCACTAGTGAGTAGATGATTGTTATCAGAAGGGATTTTGTGAAGTTTGTAGTAATTTTAATGCCGTTTTTCTACATAGGTAATGTTAATGCAACAGTGATTACTTTTACTGTAAAAATTATTGTTCTCTTCCTAAAATCACACTTATATTCGTGCTTACAAGTACTTGAATGAAGCTCATTTGATGTGTTTGATTACATTAAATTTTCCTTGTATTAATTATATATCTTCAGTTACATTAAAATCTCGGTACAAAAACACAAAAACATTCAACTAGTGTTACTTTGAAAGCTATTCCTTTAAAAGAAATACATGAACATAAATTAACCTTATAGATTCCGTAACATGTTTCTCTAATTTGATTTAAGTAGTCGGTTAGTAGTAGTGATATCAGTGTTATCAACAAACTTTTACACTGAATACTTGACTTATAACGCAAGATATTAACCTGTATTTCTCATTTAAATAATAAAAATAAATAATGATTTGTTTTATTATCTTAAAAATTATTAAAATATGTTTGTTATTTGTTTAAAATTGTATCATATAAAACATCTCTAAAGAGGAAATACCATGTACAACAATTACGTAAACAAATCAATGATAAACATCATAGTGAATAGTTTACAATGTTTCTATGGTACTGATCGTTATAAGTATGTACATCATAAAAACCAATTAAGTTTTATCACATCCCTAGACTTTTGAAAAAGAAAACAGTAGAATAATAATAATAATCACTGAAATATTTACAATGAATTAAGTGTAAGTGTAAATTTTCGAGGAAAGGTGAGTTAACACCCTGAAGTAGATGAATGTCAATAGGCAAAGAAAAAGCTGAAATCAATTGTAGTTCCTATGACAGTAAAAAGCATTACATAACTTTCTGTCTATGTTATATTAATCGGTCTGTAGATTTCTGCTGCCAGATACAACTTGAATAAGTTATTCTGTTATCAACTAGAAAAAAAAACACTTTTAATTAAAAAAATATCGATACTAAAAGAATTGATTGATTATCTTTCAAAACGTGGCATTTTTTATAACTTGTGGCCTGTGTGCCCTGTTAATGTATACTCAGTGATACCACCAATTAAAGAGCAGTGACTTGTCGACCGGACCAATGACGCATAAAACCCGTGAGAGCAGTCTACAGTCCTTATTGGCCCTGCTTCCTGACTAGCACAGCCAGTTAATTTCAGAACACCAATTTCAGCCTCTGCGATATGAATCATTTATTTCAAGCATACTGGGTTTATATACCGACCAGACAGACCACACCGTACCATAAAATATGAAACAACATTTGTACAAGTATTAGCCAAATGTGGCTCTGAGTGTGGGAGGTAGTAATTAATAGACAGGGCATAATTCAAGAATGGTAAATCGTATAATAATAATCTACGGGTCAGAAGGAAGCTTATAATAAGAGGAATATGAATATGGGTAGTTTATTTATTGAGGAATTATACGATAAAAATATACGTTTAGTATTGGTCCATAAATGGATCCCAAAAGTTACCATTCGCTATGCTTATAACAATTTTTAACCTGGTTTGAACTATAATATCAGTATTGAAATATATTCAAATAGAATAGTGAAAGAATTGAAAACTCTCAGAATGATTAGATTTTGGCTTATATCCTGAATATGAAATATTTGCATAATTATTTATCGCTTAACATATATCCTTCATTTAGTAGTACTTACCTCTTAGAATTAAAAACAAAGGATATAAATGTCAATTTCAGAGGGATGAAAAACAAAAATACAAAAAACAAGAACAGTTGTTTATTCTTTGCATACTTATTTACTTACGCCTGTTACTCTTGGTGAAGGAGCATAGGCCGCTCACCAGCATTATCCATCCAACCCTGTACAGGGCGATCCTTTCCAGCTCCTTCCAGCTGTTATTCATCCTTTACAAATCTGCTTCTATTTCACGACGTATTGTGTTTTTTGGCCTTCTTCTTTTCCACTTCCCTTCAGGATTCCAAGTTAGGGCTTACCTTGTGATGCATACCTTGTATAAACATGTCTACTTGCAAAATTCAACATATCTTACAGGTTGATATAATTGAGTTGAATCTAATAACAAAAGATGAATCACGTTGTTATAGTTGACCAATATTTAAAATGAATAAGCTATTGAATTAAACAAAAACTAATTAATTAGTGCAGGCTCATCTAACTCATAAGTTCCTAACCATTACAGTTTTCTATAATCAAACATTTGACGATAAGTTTGTAATCTTTCAATAAGGTTTGAAATACAATGATGATTGATATTGTCGAAAATTTATTCATTCTTTATTTTGAATGTTAATTCTATGTTTCATTCTTTCGTGTTGTTTGCTTAATAAAAAATGCATATGTCTGTTTCTAAGCAAAGTGTGATAGTGATTGACAATAAAATTCAGGAAACACATTTCGTCCTATTCGAAACTCGTTAGTTTGATGTGATTGTATTCTAGTATTGATGTTCACACTGATACTGTAACCAGGTGCCTCTTATGGATTCCATTGTTAGAAAATAGGAGGTTAGTTTTGAAGTACCTGGGAATTAATAGGAATATTAAGGTTGAGAAAAATAAACTAACGATGAGTACAGAAAAACAATAACAAGCAAAATCGTTTGTTAGGGCTTATTTGACCAAGGAAGGCATAAGTGTGTTACAAATTTACTATGAATACAAAGACTTAAGTTGTTTGCTCGAATCTCTATAGATTTCTGCTATTAGTAAGAAACGAAAGTGACAATGAACAAAGGCAAAGTGTATACGATCAGCAATTTGATTTGTATATTTCTATCTGGAACATGACGGCTATCGTTCAGGTGTGATAGAGCGGTTCTACGTATTTCTTTGATGATGATTTTTCTCAGTCATGAAGGGATTTGTTGTCTTTTATATATCTTGGTTAAAAATACTTCAACAGGTAAGCATTAACACACAGTTTTTATGAAAACACCTTTGTTTTATGATTGTTATTTGTTCATTTTACAGTAATTATTCGATAAAAAAGCCGTGAAAACACGGATCACAATACAATTCAATGGAAAGTCAAACGTTAACATCGGCAACTGTATCACGTTCGGAATCTGTAGGTTCATTACTAAATGAACGTAGTTACGACGTTGCACCACAGTCTCCATCTACTCTACGTTTAACATATAGTCCCAAATTAGAGTCAGATTTACCATATAGCAGTGATAACCAACATGATAAAAATCAAATTGTTACTGATAAATCAGAGAGAATCTTTCTTCTACCCGGTACTGAACAGATTGTGAAAGTTATTAAAAAATTTACTATTTCTGAAAATGGTAATAAGGAATATATTGAACGTGATAATGAAGAAGTTTTTTATAATATCAACAATGATGAAGATAATGAGCAGGATTTAAATGGTTTCAGAAAAAACCAACATACTAACAAAACAGAACATAAATATTACAGAACAAATGTGCTGCATAAAAGGCAACGAGTATTACACCGTTCAAATCGTAGTCATCATGAACGTCATCATCATCGCCGTCATCAACGAAACCAATCTCATGATTATATTGATGGTCTTCAAAGTAGTGAACAATCTCAATCTCCGGTGAGAACAGAATCTGTAGAGAAATCAAAGTACACCAAATATAAAAAACCTGTTACATCAGTTCAAAGCTCAGTTACATATGATCCATACAATAATGAACAAAAACGTGTAATCAGTCGCTTAAATTTGATAGCACCTGGACCAGCTCAATCATCTGATTTAAATGAGAACGAGGTCATGTCAACTGATGGATTCCATGATACAAGTCATGATGTACAATCTTACTTAAATTCCCAAAATAGAAATGTAGCTTTATCAGAATTAAAGCAGAATCGATTGTTTTTACCCACTAAAACTAATAAGAAAAACCGTAATAAATATAAAAATCATTCACGACGGAATGAATATGAAAGTCACCACGAAAAGTCACATTCATCATTGAATCGACTATGTTCACATACTCCATATAACTCTGGTGCTTGTCGAAAATGCAATGTTATGTGTTCAAAATGTAATGAAAGTATTCATCATTTAAATCATTATAACAGTGATTCACGATCATTACACCAAGCTGATATGTATTGTGATCGAAGATTACGTGGAGTAAGTTGTTCATCATTAGATCATGAATGTCAGCTAAATTCAAGTCGGAGATATAGATCATTAAGTGGTTCGAAAATGGTTACACCATCTGGTCACCATCATCATTATCAACCACACAGACATATATGTTGTGCTAAATCAATACCGTCTTTAAGTACATTAGATTTCTATGATACAAATTCTATTTATACACATAGCCTAGATTCTAATCGCCATATCAATTTTATAGAAATTGAATATATGCAAGTGGATAATGGTGATAATGATAATGAAAATCTACCTATAGGATTATCAAAAGAGAAATTAAATTGGATTACAAATTTAGCACGTGAATCATTAAATAAAACAAAAGATCTTGATTCATTGGCTAAACTAATGAAAGAAACATTAGATGAACATTTTGGTAAAATATGGCATTCCATTGTAGGCACTGAATCATATGGTAGTCATTTAGCTACATTACCTGGAACGTTAGTTAGTTTTAGAATAGATAAATGGGCTTTTTTACTTTGGCAAACATAATAGCGATTAAAATTGTACCAGTTCTTCTTTTTATTTATTTTAAAACTAGTACTCATAAATGTATTCATGACAAATCTGAACGTAAAACTTTATTCTTGTTGTTGTTGTTGTTGTTGAAAAATCGAATACAATTCACCTTAGATACCATATGATTCTTCAAGTGTGTTTTTGTTGTTGTTGTTGTTGTATTTGTCATCGAAATTATTATGTAATATCAATATTGTTTGAAATCATTTTATCGATATGACCATTAAAAATTTATAAAATCTATATCATTTCTTCTCATTCATATTGATGAGTAAAAATTTTCTTTTTGATTTTGATTTACTGAACATCAGCTGATTAATGTTAATCAATAATTTTTTTTAAAATTTACTAAACTACTAAAAAGGATAATAGTAGTCTATAGGTTTGTGTTAAACATGTATGTACACTAATATCTTTATTATTATGATGATGATGGTAACAGATGACAAAGTACTGAGAGATTGTGAGTGGGTTTTTTTTATTCCATTTGGGTATATCTACACTGTAGTGTTGATGAATGTACTTGAATTCAAACTTATTAGCTACCCCTTAATCATGTGTTTAAAAGAAAAGCAATCTTTTGAGTAGAACAATTTAATTCTTTCCAAATTTTATGATTTCGATTGGTTCTCTTTTGTTTCATTTTATCATTGTAATATATATATTAATCAATTGATTGAATATATTAATCATTTTTTTATATTTAGTAAATAAATTGTTGTTTTCTTTGCTACACCATGGTAACTACTATTTGGAACTTCAATTCTTGGAAATCGGTCATAATTAGTATTCTATCTTCACAGGAAGAAAAAGATAGAATTAATTTTACAAAATCTAATAAAACATCAAGAAAAACTTGATGTTCAATATATTCGTTATGAATGTGTAAACATCTATTAGATGGAGTATTGATCAACCATGTGAACTTCCACATGATACCTATTCACAAAGACGAGAACAAAGCACATATTATTCTGGCTTTTGATTGTTAGTTTGAAGTTGTTAATGAATATAGAGTAGTCATACACCATGAGTAGTAGATGAGAACACTGGGCTAATGAGAAACAAAGTAATTAAGTGTTCTATTAGAGATGATATAATGTCCTGCTTTATGAAGTAGAATAAGTGACCTTTTCTTCTTTGCTAGTAATATATGGATAAGTCAATATTCGATGCTGATTTTATAGAAATAATTGCATCTATTTGTAATTAAGATGCGAATAGCATGGTGTGTAAATAATCAACTAATTTATAGATAAAAGAGAAAGAAAACACAAAAATTCACTATTTTACGAACGTTTTTTCATAGATACATTGGTAAGGTTAGTCGACTGTATATATGAACAGAGGATCGTGATATGGTACCTTGCTGATCCGGGATGGTGTAAAATTATAAGTTGTAGGACAGCATCATCTCAATGACCTAAAAGGTTATAACTTTTAGTGTAATTAGACTGTCAGGGATAAACATCATCTGTAACGTAAACAATTACAATGAATATTTGTTCTGCGTTACTGTAGGATGAACGTCAAAGCAACTATTATTTCGAACAATGTGATCACATATATACTTATTAAGAACATTTATATATAAAAATAAAAGGTGAAGTTTACTAGAAATGGGGGGTAACAGGAGACAGTAATAATATAGAAAATAATGTGAAAACAATTTGAAACCTCATCACTCAGGATTATATACTAATATTACCTGGGTTGGTTAAGGATGACAACAAACCATTTTTGAATACATAAAGGGGATTTGTATTTTTGTATGCCTAAAGCCTCAATAAACCATATTATACTCCTTTCCACACTTTTATTCAACAACACAAAAGTTGTTTTAATATCGATTTTGTGACCTGTATCAACTATGTGCTTAGAAGATTGTGGATATTTATCATCTACTCTTATTGGGTTATTTGATTTCACTTGGTTCTGCAACCCAATTTTGTATTCAAAAACAGTTTGTTCTCATCCTAAACCTATCCTGATAATATTAGCTTATTATCCAGCGTGATGAGGTTTCGAATTGTTTTCACATTATTTTCTATATTATTACTGTCTCCTGTTACCCCCCATTTCTAGTAAACTTCACCTTTTATTTTTATATATAAATGTTCTTAATCAGTATATATGTGATCACATTGTTCAAAATGTATTGCGCTAATATATCATATCATTCGTATAATCTTCGTCTTTGTATTACACTATCGAAATTTATCGAAGAGACTAATTGCTTCAACCACTGATCTTTTTGAGTCTCGCTTGCTAAAGAAATCAAGTGTCTCGTGTTTATTTATGTGAGCAATCTGTAAATGAATTTATGGGGTCGAAGACTTTTTTGACTAATTCTTATTTTTACCTCATGCCTACATTTGATAATGGCTGTTAATGTTTTAAAGGTTTTACCAGGGAGTACAAGCTTAGTGATGTATCTAATGATAAGATAATTCTAAACAACTTTTGAGAGATATGATGAATCGTTACATGAATAGCTTTTTATGCCTGATCAAATATGAGATAATCGCTTCGAGGTATATGCGCTAGTACGACAGATTAAACAATAATGGTTCCGTTCAGAATTTCTCCACGATTACAGATAAGAGAAATACTGACAAGAGTTGTAAGCAAAAGTTCATTTCATCGTAGGCAGATATAGAAGAGCTAGAAAGCAATCCTGAATGTTTAAAAAACCATTTATTTCAAGGAGTTGTTTACAAATAAATCATCAATCTCACTATGTTGTCTGAAGTCAATCGACCCTAACTCAACAGTTTAAAAGACGCACACTTGTCCTACCATCTCTGCCCAATCCTTGTCTGAACTTCAGTAATCTAGTCAATTTCAACCATTCCACTGATACGCAGGTTGATTTTAAGGTTTATAACCTTTTAATTACATCATCATATCTATTCATTGTTCATTCGTTCTCAGAGAATCAATACTTAATTAATTTCCACTTTAATATAAAAATGCACATCTGGACCATGAATTCGTTGAAAAGCGATCCTTTCGCTGAACTTACGTGATTGACTGCTTACAGTTTTATGCCTAGAAAAAACGTTTCACATCATCAGCAAAAAGTAATGTCAGACGTTACCTATTGTGCAAGAATGTCTATATAAATCAAGGAGAGAAGAGGTCTTAATTAGAACCCTGGGGGATCCCACTAGGACATTTCACAGGCTGAGAGAAATTTTAATTAACTCTAACCTTAAAATGTCGATTTTTTACATTTGAAGTGGGCCAGTCAATTAAAGGTGATTTGATGCTCAATCGTTTGAGCTTATTGCTAAGACATACGTGGTTGACCTTATCAAAAGCTTTTGAGAAGTCAATGCAAATGATGTCAACTTTCATCTTGCGATCAAGGATGGTTGTCCATCTGTTCACCACAGACACCGGGTTGGCTATACAAGAATGACTCTTCCTGAAACTATGCTGTTGGGGTGAAAAGAAGTTTGAGGATAATAAACAATCACGTTTACCGTCACATATCAGTGACTCCATAATTTTTGAAGGTATAGAGAGAACGGCCACTGGTCAGTTGTTTGAAGGTTCTCTGCGTCGAACTAATTTCAAAATTGGTGTGAAGCTTCCAAGTTTCCGGTAGTTTGCCTTAGCTTAGCGAGTGTGCAAACATCACGCTAAACGGTGTTGCCAGGGCTGAAGCTGCTTTTCTCAGTATAACAGCACGAATCATGTCCGGGTCAGGAGAAGTGCCATTTCTTAGGTGCGCAGTTACCGGAACACCAGGTCACTGCTCAGGATCACTTCGCAAAATCCTGTGGAGTTGCAGGCGAAACTTTCATCGATATAGTTGATGTGGGTCGGTTGAAATGTCCAGCAGTATTATTCAGCCAGAATGTTAGCGGCGTCACCGTCGTTATCAGTCGTGCGAATACACCTAGCATTTGAGAAACTCCAGTTTTCGCCTGTCGAATAGATGCTGCATAACGGAATAAGCATTTCGAACTGAAGACAAATTTATCGATAAGCTTTATCTAGTACTGAATTCTGTCTTCTATTATAACGTTTGCGCATATGTTCCTCATATGTTTGTATTACCTGTACGCGCCGTTATCAGTTCGTTTGTATTCCGCCCAAAAAGTGCCTTTTTCGGCCTAGCAAATGACAATTTGAGGGAAAAACTGCTTTGTAGCATATAAGATCGTGTTCAGTAAGAAATATCAATGAGTATCAACATTCAATTTGAGGGTGAATTTCCAAATCCCCCTGTTGTAGATAGTCCTTAAAAAGCGGACACATTCAGTCGTTCAAAACTCCAGCGTATGTTGCTGATAAAACTGAAGGCTATGACGGCGTGATCGCCTCTCCCCAGAGGAGCCAGGATTGAGAGGTTTTCAACTAGGAATTTTCGTTTGTAAATACCTGGTCTAAGCCCGACGGTGTCCGACTGTTTCTCCAAAGAGTTGCCTACTTCACATTTTCAAATAATCCCAGATCCTCAATGAAGCTGAATAACAGAGCTTTAGTATATTTTCCACCTCCAATATACGTTTGTTCATCGAAGTTGACCTTAGGAATATCGAAATCTACTATAGTCAGGACACGTTCTCAAGGATTCGTGACAACGTTTAACTATCATTCCGTAATATTACTCATTTTTCAATAAATATACCTCGGTTCCTACCTGGAGGTATCAGTGATCCGCTGCTACCGGATTCGGAGGCCTGTTAAGTGAAAGCTTCATCTTTTCCGTCCAGAACCATTTGAAACTTTAGTGACTCGGATCCAACTACAATTCGATCGTATGACTATCGTTATCGAAATATACATGTTGTCAATCCCCGCATATAATGATCAACTTAAATCGCGTCAATGAAAAACGGACTTGAACAAGTCAAATACGAGAATGATTTTCGGAAGTGTACATACAACCATACAATCGTTGGTCCGAACAAAAGATAAAAGAAACGAAACATGTGAGCCAACTCCATTTAATCAAGCGTTAATCAATATTTACAGCCAGACAAAAATAAGTTGCAGACATGAAATGTATAGGATAAGAAGTACGTATAGATAAATTTAAAAACAGTCAAGGGTGATAAGCGAATGAATAACGGGTTCAAAACGTGCATCAAGAAGAGCGAATAAATTGACTTATCCGTAAGCTAGAATAAGCTATGTGGGCTTAAATAGTACTCGACACTACAAAATCTTTTAAAGACTTATGAGAAGTAAGTGGCTCGCATAATGCTTAACATAGTAATTTCTGTAGAGTTTCAATGAATGGTAGTGATATTCTTATTCCCGTTATCAGCATATTTTATTGTTTTATAACCACAATGAAATGTAGTAGTACCTATCGGTTAATTAAGTTTTCATAATTCGATTACGGTACTATATACTGATGTTCACTACGCGTCTCGTGCCCACGACTGAATCCAGTTTAATGTTTATATAGTTTCACATCAACGTTCCTTCCACATACATAATAACCAAACTGGTCGAAAATGCACTTTAAAGTTATCAACGCATCTTTTTTAAGTAAAAGAAATTCACTTAAACACTTGGGTACAAATAAACCTTGCTCATATTTTTGAGTTGAAGGTTCAGAAGAAAGGTTGATTAAGTCGGCCGTGGAGTCGGTCGACCAGTTCTGAAGTAAAACTATTGAATTTATTCATGTTGAGACCTTGTCACGGTGATATTTCAAATCGAAGGTCATAGTGCGTTGCTTTCGATGTCACGTCTATTTACACTCTTTCCCGTATTGATATCTTGTATGTGGTAGTTTTCCATCTTTAATTTTAATATTAGGTGTGCGCCATGGCAGAAGACCTCGATTTATTCGTCCATATCTGAAAGACTTATATGGTAGAAGACTTGCTCAAGGTCCAGAGATTTATCGACCCAGGAAAGATTGGTTATGCTGGAATCGTGACTCGGAATTATGTGCGTTTTTGTCGAGAATTGGTGAAAAATTAGAGAAAGACCTTATTGAGGTCGTTCTGACAGATCGGTAGTTACTGAGTTTTCAATTGAAAATCATACCGTGTATTGAATCGTAGATCATATTCCTCGTTTTGGTCTGTAAAAACGGCCGAGTCAGACAGAAAAATAATGCAAGACAACTCGGAACTCGCTGCTCTAGGTAAGGAGTTGACGATTAAGATTTATGTTCGTAGAAATGTTTGACTTGTTAAGAAACTTGAGGTTATTCGCTAACTAATATCATTTTTAAATTCTCGTGTATTGAGTTTCTACCATTAATAACATGTCTGATAATCATTTAGTATTAACACCTCGTATTTCTAATCCACCAATTTCTCAGGGTCAAACATGTATTTTGTTACGCCATATACATGTAAAATTCAGGGTAATGCAACGTGTAGCAAAAACACCTGTTTTTATCGATTTAATTGGTCTATCAACCTTCACCAGCAGTAGTACCTGTCTTTACAAGATCTTCCGTTTTCTGGTTATATCTGACATGCACAAATTATGTGATTTTGCATCTGTGTTAACTTCATAAAGCAGCAACATTAGCAACAGAATTCAGAAAATTTACATTCGTTTTGCTGCATCCATTGATGTTATCAGCTTAACTATGTGCTTAGGGGGCTTCTTGGAGAATTGCGTAATTGTTTAATGACAAGTGTTGAAAGTTAAATGAACAAAATGCAGTTCGAAACTCAATTAATTATAGTATATACATCCATCTTAATCTGATACAGGTTTAAATTCGGCTTGCCTTAAAAAGTTGTACAAAACTACTGAGCGTTTACTAATTGCGCAAGCAGTTAAATCCCACAAACTCACTTGGATTTGAGGTAAAGGGCAAAAACAAGTTGACCGCATTAAGTTGACTAGTCAGTTATGGTACGTAAAGCTTGGTAATAAATACAAGACGAAGAGAAAATCCATCAATGAAAGGTATTAATAGGTAGTTTTTATGAACGATTAAAGATACTCAGTTGGTTTATGACGCGGCGAGATGAAAATGTTAAGGCATATCTCAAAGTAGTAAAGATAATAACGGTTTCAGTGGCAGCATCTAACACAACATGTGCTTCATCTAACATAGCTCAGTTGAGTCTTCACGATAGGTAAGCCTGACCACCACACCGAAATAGCAGCTACGGTATCCACAATACCACGCAACTGTATTCCGTCTATCTGTTATCTACTCATTCGGTTGTTAGTTCTAATTTATCAATAATCAGGACGTTTCTTTACCAAACTTTAAGTCTTGCATTTTAAATGAGTATATAAAATAATACCTGTGTGGGAAGACCGAATTATTTGCTTGCAGTTCTCTTCGGAAGCCAGGTTAACGGTCATTAAAATACTCAAAACAATACTTTGTTTCATCTGCAAAGGTTCTTCTAAAGGTAGTATGTTATACGCTGCAACCTTGTAAACCCCTTATTCATCTTGTAACAATACGTAATAGGTCTTTCGGGGAGGAAATACAATTTTTCATAACAGTAAAATGCAAACTGTTGCGTTACGTGATAAAGTTGTACTATTTAGCTGGTAAAGTGCCTGAACGATGTTTAGTTCACCAAAAATAGTAATTAATCAATCTCTTGCATAGCGAATGCATGATTGTAAACACGGCCTTTGATGGTTGATGTCTAGCCATATATGTCTGAAACCATTGTTCATCTATGCAATTCTGAGTTTGAAGGTGGGAAAATAGATCAAAGTTTTAGATCGATTACAAAGGCTGTGAATCTTCATCTACTGAGGTAGCTGAGTGTATGTAACATCTTCTGATCACCATTTACACCAATTTACAGTGTTGTATGGCATAGGTATGTTTCATAGAAAAGTTAGAAGTGATTAGCATTGGGGAAAGGATATGTTTGTATTTTACTCACGTATATCATTTATGATTTAATTTCTGTCTGAATATCTTTTTACGGAGAATTCGTCTGCATAGTTTATGTTCTTAGTGTATAAACTTTTTTCTTATGATTATGGCAGTAAAATTATGTTGTTCATATAAATGTTTAGTAGCCCTTCACACAGCCTGAAATCTACTTCATTAACTAAAGTTTAGATTTTCATGGGTCTATATTTTAGTACTTGGAATATCAAACGATAAAACTTCGTTGTACAAGCGTTTCGCATTGGTTGATCAATTCGGATCGGAAACAGGTTACAAATTATCATCTATTTGATCTGCATATGTCATAGCACCAGTGTTTTATTGTCTCCTCTTACATGTGTATATTATTTCACGTAGCCAGCTGTCAGGGAGCATCACATTTCTCAACAACTAGAAGTTTCTATTTACTTTTAAATGATTCATTATTATGTAGTTTTATACGATGTATGATTGACATTCATTTAGTTCATATTGAATATATCATCGTGTAGTGGTTTTTGTTGAATATCTACTAAAACTCATGAACTTTAGTTAATCTGCTGTATTCTTTATATGTTTTTGTTTACTTTGTAGGATTTTCTGTTTCGGAAAATTTTTTATATGTCTTCCTGCGATCAGTGTATCCTCGATTCCCTGAAGAGTGGATTATAACTATCGTTCAGTATTTGAAGTCACCTTCTGAGCTCGCTTTTATAGCCGCTCATTTAGGAATTAAAGATATAGTATTGTACAGTGATCAATTAGATTATTCAAGCAATAAAATTATATCAGCTCCACCGAATCTGGATGTTTTAACTCACGCACTTATGGCTTTAGTCGGTGCTTTAGCAAAAGACAAGGTGAATGTATTCAAAAAAACTTGCCTTATTTCCCCTAATCATTACTAATATTCATCCATATATGATTTAATCGTTTTTTTTTTAAGAATTTCACTCAAATTAGTAATGAAATTTATTTGTTCACTTGATTGGATTGCTGAAAATAAGAAAGCAATATATATATATATATATATATATATATATATATATATATATATATATATACCAAATATTGACAAACTTCGGTTTTAGTAATGTTTATGTTGTTAGATTAACAATCGAAATATATTATGATTTATAAAATGTGTTCACAAAAATAATTTTTTAACAACTATTATTATTGTGACTTAGATGGAGAAAGCACATTTGTTTATTCGGGATTTCATACTAGCAAGACTTCCTGATATAGATTTAACTGAACTGATTTCAATTCCTAATCCATTACCCCTTCTACAGGGTATACTTCAATCTGAAGGACGTGGCCCACCTGAAACCAGGTAAGTGGTATGTATTAGTTTAAAATAATGTTTTTCTAAAGTTTGCCCCTTCATCTTTAACTGTTGTGGGGAAGAAGATAACAAAAAAATACATTCGAAATTCCTTTGTTTATGAAACTATGTATTGAAATGTTAGTTTTGCAGATGAAAATTTGGATTTGATTTTATTATTTAGTTAATCAATAAAAATCAACATAGGACTTGACATCAATATTTAATAACTTAAGTTGTTACATCATATCAACACTGTGAAATTAAATTTACAAAATGTAAATGGCTAATTGAGTAGTCAAAATGATATAATCGTATAAATGGTAATCAGAAAGAGTAAACATCGAAAACATTGTTCAGAAATGAAGGAATGAAATAAAGAGAGAAAAAAGTGCAGAATATTAGCGATTCCCAAGGTCCAGCAAAAAGTAATTTAAAGAACCAAATATATCTAGAGGATTGTGACTAATTTTAATTTGGATTAACTAAACTCTGTTTTATTCGTACATATTTGTGATGACGATTTGTGTGCTCAAGGAAAGGCTTTTGGAATTACCTAGTTGTTTAGACTGGATTATTTGACAGTAAAGCATTTATTAATGATATATAGAGAGACAAAAAAGACTACCATTAAACTATCCACTTCATAGAACACAAGGCTTCTAGTAATTTCGCTCTCATCCTAATTTGTCTTATCTAAAATTATAAATTATTTACTTTGAAATGTAATTCAAAGAAGTTTGATAAAAAATACTCAGAGCCTCGCTACGTAATTTTCTTTCTTCGAAACATTCTGTTGATTAATCACAATCTCACCTCTTGGAATAGAAAATTCCAATTTTGTGTGAAAATAGCTCACTTTACAATATAGAAGCACACTGAAGTTATTGGTTGAACATAGTTTTAAATCACGACATACTTCTAATCATATGTAGACACAATACTAATATATAATAACTTTGTGTATATGAATGTAATAGATAATCTATTTGGTCACTTCTCCTTACAGATTAATTTATCAGTCAAGTATGAATACTGTGCTAGCCTGTTTTGAAGTTGGTATATATAGTGATTGTCAACTCATTGGAGAAGGTAAACAGCATATTCTTAACATTTAACACATACAGGGTGTTAAGATTTTTATGATGGATTTATGTAACCCAAATGATGTGCAACTGAATATCTGTTCTACATTTATACTGGTAAATGGTTGTTCAAGATATAACTCATACTGTAATAGCCAACAAAACATCAGGAATTCGGCCTGTACTTATTGTTTGGGATTTTGAGTTTTCGTAAGACTGTGGGAAAGTCATGAATCGGCTGTTAATCTATACTCATGGAAACCGCAGCATGTCCATTCACCGGTTTATTTGTTGAGCTACTTATGTGGCTACAATTAAAGAAAGTATATTTAGACGTGGTTATCAGTTCCTGTAAAAGTCAGGTTAGCACTAAATCATGGCAGAGCATACACCTTGACAACTCGGACGGATAACCGAGTTAAACAACGAGATTTACAAAAATGTTGGTAGTTATCTACCATTACCGTCATAAGGTTTGCGGTTAACTACAAACTAGGCACTATTCTAGATATACGAGAAGTTTTAGGCAGCAAATTCGATGACAGATTGTGTACCTACATTTAATTAGATGTGGTACACATGATGTTAATGGTATTAATGCTGGTTAGGGAAGATATCAGAGGTTAAACTAAGTTATTGTAATGTTAATTTTATAAACTTTACCGATATTTTGTGAGCTTTTAATAAATGCACACTGTTCAAGGGTAGCGAGGAAGTAGTAAAGTAATGAATTGATAGTTAAGAATCATTGATTGTTTAATCAATAGGTCCCAGATATGAACCCTGTTCTGTTTCTTCAAATTTTGGCAACTGAAATTGTACCGTCACTAGTTCTAACGAACAGGTTGCCTCAAAGTCGTTTTTACATCACGAATGACTTATACTGACCACATAATTGTGGGTGAGCAACACCTGAATATATATTGCTAAAATCAATTATAAATTTTATGGTATATGATTTGTTCGTATTCTGTAACTTGAGATAAATAACAATGGAGTCGGCTATTTTTTATACGTATGTAGTGTTATTAGCATATTGTTAAGATTGATGTTTGTGATGATTATGAAAAGTAGCCCATGAAATTTATTATCAATTAAACCCAGTGGATTTTAAAAAATTTCATTTTTATGTACACAACTAGAGAAAATAATAAAGATTCCCATTGTGAAAATGAGAACACATATAAGCGAACAATTGTTTTCAATTAGATCGTCATCAGGCTTCACTGTAATATACATGAATATTTATACGAAAATTTTAAACCAATCAAGGCAATATGAGTCAATAATCACAATGAAATAGAATAAGTCATTACACATAATAGGTAAAAGTACAAGTTGATAGTAGGAAGACAGGTGAACTGTTGATACGAGTTTTGTTATTGTATTTTATTATTCTCACTATTATCAGTTCACCTGTCTTCCTACTATCAACTTGTACTTTTACCTATTATGTGTAATGACTTATTCTATTTCATTGTGATTATTGACTCATATTGCCTTGATTGGTTTAAAATTTTCGTATAAACATTCATGTATATTACAGTAAAGCCTGATGACGATCTAATTGAAAACAATTGTTCTTTTATATGTGTTGTTCTAACTAGAGAAAAGCAAATACTTTGAATTTCTAAATCAGTAACAAGTTTATATCTTGGCTTGTTTTATAATAATTTGTCTATTTTTATTTCAATCACTTAAGCTCCTGGTGAAACGATATTAATTGCAGAAGAGGAAGCATTACGACAATCAATAAGGAATTTCTTCAAACTAACGGATAATCGTCCATCTATTCCATTGCATGGAAACTTAGACTTTTTGGACTTTGAAAAGTTTTCTGAACCAAATATTTCGCTTAATTACTATTTGGAATTAGCAGCTGATCATGTTTAACCAGGCAAAAACATCCCCTTTGAGGATTGTATACTTGTAAATATGTAATAATTCTTTTTGTAATGAATGCACCAATATACTGCTTATTAATCTCAAGTGTTGGCCGTTGATCATTCTAAAATCTAATGGTGGGTATAGACATGTATTACATACATTCACGTCTAGACTAAATGCTTTCAAAACTCAGTTGAGTAGATTAAAACCAAGTATTTTAAATTTATCCAGCAACAAAAACGTTTTGAAATGAATTTTCGTAATACAATAACTGTTAACATCAAGGACATGTTAAAATGTCTTTATTACTTTTTTAAAGATGTCTAGGGATAATATTCCGCTACTCAAACCAAAGTAAACAGGACGAATATTCGGATCTGCAGTCTTGTGGTTGAAGACTGGCTGTCTTAAGCGCTGCACAAATGAACTAAGAGCCCTAATTCTAACTGTTTGGCTGTTCAAACATTGCAAAACCACCAGGATTCTACCTTTTGGCCCGCTGTCTTAGTTCGTGTCAATGAGCAAAATAACTATCAGTGGCACATTCAAGTAGTTGTATTGTACCATTTGAAATGTTTTGACGAACTGTCTGTGAAACGAACGTCAGATAGGAAGCATGGAGCAACGATAGTCCTGATATAAGATGGTCTGCGTCACAACTCTCCGGTGAATGTACCTTCCCTCGATTGGTTAATAGTGGTCAGTTTCTCTATAAGGCTGTTTTGTGCAAGTAATAAGAGAAAGTACTTAGCGACAATAGAAAAATGTCTTGTATATCCCTCCTGATGCGAAATTTTGCTTCAGGACTGCCTCTTTATGGCTGCGAAGCGTGGTCTTTGTAAGTAGAAAAAATGTCGACTTTGGTAGTATTTAAGCATAATTCTGTAAGCTTATCAAAAAATTGAGCAGAAAGAGTCGAAAACTGGAGCATCCATTATCAAGTGTAGTTTACTAGGTGATCCCTGTGAATCCTACCGCAGTTATTTTTGAGAGTGCAGGGCCAATGGAACCTCATTGGGCCCTGACCAAGTCACTCATCAGGCTGAACTATAACTGCGTCGGACAGTCCGTAGAAAATCCTGTAGTTAAGGTTTGACGAACGCTGACTAGTCAAGAGCACGTCGTAGACTGACGGATACACAGTGGTCCGTCCTTGTAGCTCATTAACTTGGTTTTGCTTAAATATCCGCTTTGTCAGCATGCATTCCAAAATGTCATCAAGGACTCCGATTTATCTGTTTGTCATTACAGGATGGTTCAATTCACGTACCAACCACGAATTGACTTCAACGTAGGCTAGGAAGTCTTAGCGTTCCGTCCATCTTAAGCAGACCTCGTCTACTCAAATAGATTGTCTACAGATGTGTGTTAGCGCATTCTATGTCCAGCCAGTTTACAGATAACAAATTCTGAACCATTTAACCAACCCATACATAAATATGATACCCAACAAACGAAAGCACACTACAAACAAAAGTGGTTCATTCCAACATTTACGGATGAATTGAGAATATCAGAGCACTATGTCCTACAGGTTCCAAACTAGATAGCGTCAACTCTTCATGTTCTCTATATCCTATTATGCGTATTATTTCCAATCTAAGTCAAGGTGAGGAGAGCCAATAAAACACCGTTTGGTTTTTAAGCGTATACTATTTCATTCTGGTTTTTACCTATACTACACGTACAGAACAGCCGTATCAACCAAGGAACACGATTTAAGGATCCATATGTAACACGTTTTAGCAATGACATACTTCCGGGATGCTAATTTGTGGACAAAACCAGCAGTAAAATCGAATATGAATGTCTCCGGTGAGTACATCTCGGAGGATGGAAACAGGTGTATAACTCTGGCGATAAAAGGTTACTAGGTGAAAATATCAAACTGGTTAATGAACTAGAGTTCAATGACGGAAGTGGTTGGATTGTGCTATGCAGGTTACAAAAGCTTCAAAGACCTTTCTGGGATTAGAATAACCTGCGAAGAGACTAGGGAAACAGATCAAAAACTGGTGATAGGTCGAATCCAAAATCTTGAACACTATGGTAGCTCTCATGTATCTTATCATATTGCCTCTCACAGCCGTCTTCGCATATCTTTTTATTGTGAGATGTGGTAGTATGGGCCCGGAACTAATTTGTTTCTAACCGTTCAAGGGATAGCTAGAGGCAGTGAAAAATACACTGTAACCAGCCTGAATAAAAAATCAGAAGTATTTCGTTTCCCGAGATTAGTTCGAAACAGGAGTTGTAAAGATAACTTATTAAGTAGCTTATGTGTAGAAAGTGGTATGCAAATGGAGCTGATCGCTCAGGAGCGGTAATCATTTTTTGAAAATAATACCATGCAACACATCTATCGTAAATGAATGATGAAAAAATTGTGAGACTATGTGCATGACATTTGTTATGACCAAAAAACAGTGAAGTGACGATAATTGTGCTGTGTACGATGGAAGACAATTTGCATCGACAATACACTCTCGAGGAAGATGTAGCTAAACGGATAAGTTTTGGTTACCGCCTCTTTATCTACTAGTCCTAGATCCCATAGGCTACAATAAGAACTACTGACACCAGTCTATTTTCCCCATCAACTTTAGCCAATAAAGTTCTCCACCCAAACCTCACTCGTTTATTAGGTTAATCAGAGAATAACCGAATCATGTCAGCGAAATTCTTAAGTTCGGAAGTTGCAACTCACACATGTTTAATAATAGCAGATAAAAGACATTGCATTATTATAACCAAAGCAAACTAGTATGTACAAGGAAATATTATACATTTTGCAAAGAAAGCTTTTACTCCATGTCAACATCCTCCTCACTTCCTGAGTCTGACTCACTGCAAGTCAAATCGTCAGCATCAGTGCTTTGGTCTTGAGATAAACATTGATTAAGATTACAACCAGTTGTCAATTTGTCTATTTTATCCTGAAGTTCACTGGTGTTTTTATTTCGAAAAAGAAGAAGTCCTTCGTATATTAGACGTGCAACTTCTTCGTGAGATTTGTCTTCACAAATGATATTTAATTCATCATCTAAATAATCTTCCAAAAAGTCGCTTATTTCATCCTCGTGTTTAGACTTTAAAACAACCTGAGGTAGATGTTCGTACAATAATCCTACTTTTTGTTGTGTATTTGGGCCTCCAGACTCCTGATTTAGACCAAGGCGCAAAGATGTCCATGAATCCAAAATCTTTTTTGTATACAGCTTGAACAAGTCCATATGCTTTTAATGTCTAGATTTCATAAAGTTTCTGTTCAGCCTGAAAGAATCTTGGATGCTAGAGGATTGTGGGGAGCAGTGTGTTTGATTATCGATTACCAGATCTGGTAGAGAAAAGAACAAGTAAAAACGGGTCAACGATTAGATAAGCAAATAGACTGCACTCACAATAAGTGAAATTAATTGACAAAAATTAAAAATAATGCAGACGTGAGCTTAAAACAGTTCCATTACCGAGACTAAGAGTTGATAGTGTTGTAGCACGTACTATTAGCGTTTACTTGGAAGCAGGAGCGATCTGAAACACAACACAATAGTAAGCACTCATAAATGCCACTGAAGTAAGAAAACGGCATACTGACACAACAGATATATTTGAAAAATATAAAGACGCGATTCGAGTACAAAAAGGGAAGCCCATTAGGCGAGACTTAAATTTATAGACGACCTCTGAACGAATTTTAAATGACCTTGAGAATATTAGGCAATCAGCGAACAGTAAGTATATAGTAAAAATATATTATACAAAACCAAGGGAATATAGTGGATAATTCTTATACGTGGTTCAAAAACTTGTCAAGGTTTATAAGAGGTTCTAAAATCGTAATGCATGCAGTGGAGGAAATCATCCATACGGCTACAGAATAGTCGGCCTCCGTAGCCATGATAAAGTCTCAAAAACTCTTTCAGCCTCGACCACATAGTTTCAGTATTGTTTATGTGCACTTCGGTTGTTGAGTACACAAAATGCTACTTGTGGATAACGACGCGATGCACATGATCAAGCCTATGCATGAGTCTGTAGGCTCTCCAGCCATCCTTATATATTGTAGTGCCTAGCTGCAGCCAGTGTTACTGGTACCTTTATTATCTAGTTCGCGATAATTGTCATAATTTGCCTCAGTTAGGAATTATATATGGGGTTTTCATCACGAACTGACATCAGCTATACTGCCAGAAATCTATTTAGTCAAATGGATTAAAGGCTTTCTTGCCCAAATCCGAGATCTGTTAACTTATACCTGACTCATCCGTCCACAAATTACAGTCTTGCCGTTTTATTTGTTATAGCCGCTCAATTATCACGTTTTGCACAAAATTCCTTGTGAACTCATCGTACGTTAGCACTGTAGCACATACTATTAGCGTTTACTTGCAAGCAGGAGCGATCATGCAACAAATCACAAGAGTAAAACCGTGACGGTTTTTGATACTGTTACACTACCCCCTCTCTACATTAAGCACTGTCCTCAGTGCCTGGTGCTGGACATGGGTATGCTAACCCTCCCTCTGGTGGCACTTCATAATGGCTGACGGTAGTCGGGGGATGACGACCGGGGTATCTAGGTGCACCGTTGTTCTGTCTGGCTTCAATCGATTGTAGTGTGCTGTTATAACATCGCCTTGGGGTCGTTGGAGGTTACGTAGGACGAATGTAGTGGGAGACCGCGTAAACACGACTTCATAAGGTCCTTGCCGAGGGTGATGGAACTTCCTGCATGTCCCCGATTGAGCCAAAGGGCGGTGCAGCCACACACGATCTCCGGGTTTATACACAGGTCCGTTCACCTTGCGATCGTACACATCCTTTTGGTGCTTGATGGCATTTTGTGGGTTGATCTTCAGTAAGCGATGGGCGTCGGCTAGGCGTTATGGATGTATACTATATGATCTTGGGTCTCGCATGGTAACAAAGGTATTTGAAGCTCAACGGGTAGGCGCAATTCATGTCCAAAAAGTAGGGTCGCAGGTGAAAACCCCGTAGATCCGGGCACTGATGCGCGGTACGCTAACAGACATTGAGGTATCACGTCATCCCAACATTCCGTCGACGACTTATTGATAAACGTTGGTGGAGAGTTTTTACAGTCCTGTTGGTTCTTTCCACTAAGCCGTTACCCCCTGGATGGTATGCGGTAATGTGTGTTTTCCGGATTCCCAATAATCGACATACCTGGGCGATGAGATGACTTTTAAAGGCTGAACCTTGGTCAGAATGGAGTGAGAGGGGAGCGCTGTACCGGGATACCCAACGATCAATGAGAGCACGAGTGACTGTGAGGGCATCTTGTTGTGGTATAGGAACAGTTTCACACCATTTGCTGAAATAGTCTACCATAACCAGTATATAACGGTTTCCGTTTTTCGATGTTGTGAGTGGCCCCATAATATCGATGCCAACTTGGTGATGCTGACCTTCTGTGGTCATTGGAACTAAGGGTGCACGGGGGATTTGTCGGGGTGACTTAGTAGCATAGCATGCGTTACAATTTTTGCAGAATTCTGCAACGTCTTCACGGATGGATGGCGACCAAAACCTCTGGCAGATAACATGTTCAGTCTTCCGTTTTCCTGAATGCCCCAGTTCTCGGTGTACCTGCTCCATAATATACTGAACTTGTACACGTGATACTATCAATAGTGGCTGTTTTGATTCACCGACTATAAATCACGTGTCTTCATACAACTTTAGACTGCTCAACTTGACACAAAGACGGTGCGTCGCCAAAGAATGATACTTCAACTCTGTCATAGATGGTTTATTATTGTCACGTAGTTGCCTCTGATAAATAAATCGCAGATCAGGGTCTGCTGCCTGAAGGGACGGCCAGTCGATCTCGGGGGTTGTGCTAAGGACGGCACTAATGGTATCAGGCGAATAGGGTATACGAGATAGAGAATCGGCGTTTGTGTCGGCTTCGGGGTTGGTATTCGCAAGTACAATCAAACTCTTGAAACCTCTCGTGCCAGCGCGCTACCTGACCTTCTGGTTCACGGAATGAACGAAGCCACTCTAGTGCAGGGTGGTCTGTGCGTACACGAAAGGTTCGCCCTGGGAGATAGTGACGAAAATGTTGCAAAAATTTTACCAAAGCTAGCATCTGTCGGCGCGTCGTAGAATACCGTGTCTCTCTTTTATCTAACCGCCGACTAGCGTACGCTATGACCCGTTCCTTTCCGTCTTGTGCTATTTGTGACAGGACTGCCCCAATAGCTGATGAGCTAGCGTCTGTATCAAGTATAAACTCACCCGCTTTAGCCGAAGTGTCCGGAAAAGCCAGTATGGGCGAAGCAGCAAGACATGACTCCAAAGTGTTAAATGCGTGTTGGCATTCCGTGGTCCACAAAAATTTTCGTTCTTTATGCATCAGGCGATGTAAAGGTGCTGCCGAGGATGCAAAATCGCTTACGAAACGTCTTTAATAAGAGGAGGGCCCCAGGAAGCTACGAACATCCTCGTCAGATTTCGGTTGTGGCCAGCTAATAATGGCGCTCGTTTTTTCCTCATCTGTTGCTGCTCCATTTTCCGTAATGCGATGCCCCAAAAAGAGCACTTCTTTTTGTAAAAGTCGACATTTAGATGGTTTTACTTTTAAGTTGTGCTGCTTAATGCGTTGTGGAACTGCACTATGATGTTTTGGCGTGCTGCCATACACAATAATATCATCAAGGTAAATTAAGCACCTGTGTGGTACGAGGCCATGTAGAACTGTCTGCATGAATCGTTGGAACGTGGCTGGGGCATTAGTTAGCCCGAAGAGCATCTAATGTAGCATAAATCCGTGGAAGTGGAAAGGAATCGCGTTTGGTCAAGGCATTAAGGCTTCGGTAGTCTACACACAGTCGTAGGGAGGGGTCTTTCTTTTTCACTAAAACAATAGGCGATGCCCAGGGTGATGAAGATGGTACATTAATCTATTTTTCTAGCATATCTTTTATAATGGATTCCAACTGAGGTTGATAATGTACTGGTACTCCGCGAGGTGGTTGTCGTAATGGCATATGGTCTCCTGTGAGAATGGAATGTTGTACAGTGGTCGTTCGATTTCCGTAGATATTCTCCGAAAAGACAGAACTAAATCCTTGGAGTACGTCAATAGTTGCTCGACGGTCTTTTTCGCTTATTATTTGATTATCGTGTACCTGACGTACAATTTCTGAAATCCCCACCATTGTTACGGGTTCAATTGACATTTCGTGGTGTTGTAGGTGCATAGCAACGTCACCAACTTTCGCTTCTGATTTATCCATATGTATGGAGACCTGATATTTTAACATGAAGTCAACCCCGAGTATCATGTTCCAAGTCAATGTGGGGCAAACCGAGAATTCATGTAGAAAAGAATTCTTGTCTATCGTTAACTCCAACCCTATCTCAGAACACGCTATCAGAGGGTCTCCGCTTGCCGTAATTAATGCAGAGGAACATTGTTTCCGCTGCGTCTTGTAGTTGAGTTTCTGTAAGAAGTCTTCCTTAGTCAGGGATACTGAAGCCCCCGTACCCAATAGTATATCAGTCTCAGTATTTTGCACTTTACCTCTAATAATAACTGGACCTACATGTTTAACATAGCAAGAAGATATATGATAACGACACGTTTCGCCTCTGTTCTGTACACGATTATGCCCGCATTTTCGGGCTCTTCGACCGAAACTTTGGCAATAAAAACATTCGGTTCTTCAATTCTGTTGATTAGTTCGCGGTGGTTGTCCCAACGGACGATAATTAACTGCAGAAGGTGTTTGTGCAGGATCAAACTGGCGCGCGACCCCTGACTCTTGGATGGCCATCACCATCGAATAGATTGAAGTTGTAGTGCTCGACAACTTGTTGGCAGTCGTTAATCGAAGGATCGTGGTTTTTAAGTCCTGTATACTTTTAGGTGGCATTCATAAGAGGTGCTGTCGCAGTGCACCAGGCGAAAGCCCTTCTACAGAACGTGAGCGTACAAGTTCTTCTCGGACCGAAAATTCGAGGTTGGGAAAAGCTTGAATGGGTGCTTGCTGTAGGGAATGGAGGTAGTCGATTGGTTCCTAACTCGCCGTCTGGCGCAAACATATACCTTTTTATATTATATAAAAACTTATTGTGGCTAAAAATCAACCCAAAAACTTATCAGTTGAAACCGCCCTAGCAGTTCGAAAAAGACAGTGATATTTTCCTCCGCAGAGATAATTTTGTCATCTCGATCGTTAATTATGCATCAGAAATGCTGTTTTCACTTTAAGTGAGTTTATTCTAGTTAAAGTAATTTGTCACTGACACTATTGAGTACATTGGTTGTTTGGTATTTGTTTGCACTCTTGGTCCTAACAATTTATACTTTTCAATATTACTAGTAATCAGTTTCACTTTGTTTCTGTGTATTGTTTTTATCTGTTTTCTGTTGAAATCCTATGTTTGATGACTGGAGAGTGCCAAAAAGCAGTCGATAACTCTCAGGCTGCTGATACCTCTTTGAAATGGCATGCAGTGTGGTGAGTGCAAAGGGTGATACCACAAAGTTTGGACGAATCTGACGCCTATGGCTTTCAAACG